AAAAAACTAGACTTGAAACAATTATTTTCTTCTCAAACATCCCAAACAGAAATTCAGGAGTGTATAAACACAGCTGGCAAGAATAGTAACAGCAAAAGGGTAACAACAGAAAGACCAGTAATGGACCTCTTTCTAACTGTACAACAAGAAGACAGAGGTGAAGGTAGAAATCTGGGAGAGATAACAGTGAAGAGACAGACAGGAAGCACTACGGACAGAACCTGTCTGAACCCTGCCTACAGGAGAATCAGTTGTCATTGCTGTTGTTTTTAATGGATGACATTACAATATGGGAGAATACATGAAAGGAAGGGAGTAGCGCAGAGGCATAGAGAGGAGTGAGTTATGCACCAGGGTGAAATCAAGGCTAGTAATGAGGGGAAGGTGACATCTGTAGTCTCAGAAAGAGAAAAATTTACAGAGGAATGGTTGAGGAGGAGATAAAAAGGATTGAAAAGTGGGGGGAAAGGAATGAGGCCTTACTTTGGTGGTGGGAGGGGGTTCCACTAATAAATGATCCAATGGGTCAGCAAAGGGAGATAGGGACCTTCCACTGTGTATGGCCTGAAGGATTTTGGTGCTTAAAAAAGTCTATTTCTTTTATCAGATGAGGTTGGAATCCCTGGGGGCAAGTGGCACCTGGGGGAGTGGAAGAGTTTAGACTGAGGGAGGAAATTTTGAGGAAAAAACAGACAAAAAAAGTAAACAGAGATGGCTATACATCTGTGAGAGCAGCATAATTAAGGATGTGGTGGGAGAAGGGCCCTATCATGGGACCGTATCATCTCTGATACATGCAATAATTGGCATCATTCTGGAAGCGAGGCACCATGAAAAAGGGGAATCCATGGACAAGCTCTACAAGACAACGGCAGAAACTGCATAGAAAAAAAGAGCCTAAAATAGATACTTTGGAAATTTTGATTACATGAGGAATGTGGAGAAACAAGAGAAACCACATAATTATAGGGGTCATGAATCACAGAATGTGGGTCTTGAGCAGGCAGAAAGAGAAAAGGGATAAAGAAAAGAGAAAGAGAAATCCTTTTGGGGAAAGAGTGCCTAAAAAAGAAATTTAAAAAAAAATGAAAAGAACTAGTTGAATGAGAAGAGAAGGAGGAATCTAATGCTAGAGTAGAAAAAAAGGGGTGAGGAGAGAAAAATTACAAAACCAGATAAAAGCAGGAGAGAAAACAAAACTAAAGAAAACAAAATATGCAAAACTCCACAGGGAAAGGGTTAACAAATGAGAGAAAGCAATCAGGGGTAAGAGGGAAAAAATCTAATGAGAATAGGACACCTTAAAACAAATATTAACGTAACTGAAGGAAAATAATATATTGTTTACAGCAGAAGAAAGAGAAAAAATAACTTGAAAAAAACAAAACATTAGCAATGGATGAAAGAAAACATAAACCTAATTCTTATAATTTTAAATGGGAATAGATTAAATAAATCCAATAAAATGAAAAAGAGTGACAGATTGGATAAGAAAATAAAATCCTACAATCTGTTGCCTATAAGAAACATATTTAAAAAACAAATATAAACACAAAATAAAACTGAGGGGTTGGGAATAAAATTTACTATGCATGAAGTGAAATCTAAAAAAGCATGAATTGCGACCATGCTGAAAAAGCAAAAACAAACCTTTAAAAAATAAAAAAGGACATACAAAGAAAACTATATTAAGCTGAAAGGAGCCACAGACAACAATATGAGCAATAAAACATACTCCGAATGCCTTTCCATAAAAATTATAAAAGAAACATGATCTGGGCTTCAAGAAGACACAGATAGTAACAAAATGGTGATAGGAGACTTCAATATCCCTCTCCCAGTTTTGGATAAATCTCACAGAAACAGAAACAAAAGAGAAAATACAGAACTGAACAAACTGTTGGAGAAACTAAATTTGAAAGACTTAAGGCATCTTCTAAATAAGACAGCAAAAGAATATGCATATTCAGGGGTGGAGAATTTGTGGACTTGAGACCACACATGGCCCTCTAGGTCCACAAGTGAGGCCCTTTGACTGAATCCAAACTTCACAGAACAAATTTCATTAATAAAGGATCTGTTCTGTAAAACTTAAGACTCAGTCAAAAGACCACACCCATGGACCTAGAAAGCCACATATGCCCTGGAGGCCGCAGGTTCCCCATCCCTGCATATTTCTCGAGTACCACATGGAACTTTTACCAAAAAATGACCATAAGGCAAAGAGCTATTGCAAACAAATTTTGAAAGGTAGAAATACTTAATACATATTTATAGACTAAAATATTTTTAAAAATTGATTTGTAACCACAAACAAAAGTTACAGACCCAAATGGAGATTTAATGATGAAATCCTAAATAATGAGTGCATCAAAGAACAATTCATTAAAAAAAAAACACTACATAAAAGATAATGATGAAACAATATACCAAAATTTCTGGGATGCAGGTAAAGGAGTCCTCAAAGGGAAAATCATATCCTTAAAAACACACATTAACAAAATAGAAAAAGAAACATTAATGAAATCAACATGCATTTTAAAAATTAGAGGGGAAATAGATAAATTGGAAACAAAACCCTCAGAAATTAAAACAATAATGTAAACATATTATGCATGGTTACATACTAACAAAGCTGAGCATACAAAAGAAAGAGAAATACCTTCAAAAATATAAAGTATTCAAATTATCAGAAGACCAGATAGAGATATAAATAATCCAATTTCAGTAAAGAAGTACTAAAGAAAAAAAAAACCTGATACTGATGGATTCACAGGAGAATTCTATCAAACTTTTAAAGAACAATTAGTACTTAAACTTTACAAATCATTCTCAAAAACTGAAAAAGAAAGAACCCTACCAGAATCCTTTTCTGGCACAAACATACTTACAACAGAGAAAGGTAAAACACAGGAAAAAACTACAGGCCAATATCATTAATGAATACTGACTCAAAATTATGAACAAAATCCTATCAACAAACAATAGTCATTGATCCAAGAAATTATTCAGCATCCAGCAGCATGGTTCAACATTAGAAAACAATTAACATGATCATATTAAAAACTAAAACATCCAAAACCACATTATCATTGTGATAGATTCAGAAAAGAGTCTGACAAAGTACAATACTTTTTAAAGCTAAGAACTCTACAAAGTATAGGCATAGAGGAACTTTTAAAAAAATGATCAGAAAGAGCACACATACCTAAAACCAAAATCAAGCATCATATACAATGGAGATACACTACAACTTTTTCTAGTAAATACAGGAGTGCAGCAAGGATGCCCATTCTTCCCACTATTACTTGATATAGTTCTGAAAATGCTAGCAATAGCAATGAGACTAGACAAAGGAGTTAAAGGAATAAAGAAAAGTAAAGATAGATAAAACTATCCTATCAATTGATAATATGATGGTTTACTTGGAAAATCATAGGGAAGGAGTGAAGATAGTAACTGATACAATAGCTAAATCCTCAAAAATCAACAGCATTTCAATATAACATAATAATAACATATGCAATATATTATAATAATGATATAATATTAATAACAATCAATACAACAATAACAAAATACAAGAAGCAATAATAGAAATCCCATTCTAAAAAAGTACAAAACGTATAAAATGTCTGGGAATCACTTTCACAAGGTACACAAAAGACACACACAAAAATAGATTAAATCACAAAGTGCTCCTTAAAAAATAAAAGAACAGCCTAAACAGGTGGAGGAATATTTAGTGCTCATAGCTGGGCCATGTCAACATAATAAAAATGAAAATGCTATCAAAATTAATTTACATTTTTAATGCAATACCAATCAAATTCCCAAAGGGATACTTTATAGAACTTGACAGAATAATAACGAAATTCATTTGGAAAAAACAAAAGATCGAGACTATCAAGGGAAATGACAGAAGTAGGAATAAAGAAGGACAAGCACTTCTAGACCTGAAAGCATATTATAAAACAGCAGTTATCAACACCATCTGGTACTGGTTACAAAACAGAGAGATCAATGGAACAAACTAGACGAGAGATTTAAAAATAAAACTCAATAACCCAGTGTTTGATAAAAGTGAAAAACAAAAGGTTCTCAAAAGAAGAACTGCAAAGTATTCACAACCACGAGAAGGAATCCTCCAAATTACTAATGAGAAATGCAAATGAAAATAACCCTGCACACTGTTAAATATGACAGAAAAATGGCAACAATCAATGTTGGAGAGTGGTGGAAGGATAGGCACACTAATAATACATTGTCACTGGAGCTGTGAAAAGGTGCAACCATTTTTGAAAGCAATTTGGAACTATGCAAATAAAGTCACTAACCGCCCATGGCCTTTGAACAAAAGACTCCATGGTTAAGATTATACATCAGGGAAGCCATTGGTAAGAAAAAGCTCCCCAGATTCTCCAAAATATTTACAGCAGCACTTTTTGTGGTGGCAAAGAACTGGAAACAAGGTACATGCCCATCAAATTGGGGAACAGCTAAAAAAATAAAATGTTATATGTGAATATAACAAATATTATTGTGCTGTAAGAAATTATGTGTTTGATGAATACAGAGAATCATGGAAAGATTTATATGAACTGATGCAAAGTAAAGTAAGCAGTGCCAAAAAAATATATACACAGTAACTACAACAATGTAAACAGAAAAACAACACATCAAAAAAATAAAAATTAAATGTAACAAAATTATAAAGATCAAATGGGATTTGAATGAAGTGATATAAGAAGACACCCCAAACCTACTTCTTTATAGATGGGGGAGGTCCACAAGTGTTACACACTGCACATCTTTTTGGACTTTTTCAATATATCAATCAGTTATGCTGACTTTTTTTCCCCCTCCCTAATAAATACTATTTGCTATACAGGATGGCTCTAGTAGAGGGATTTTATAGTAATGGAAAAAAGAGAAAATATCAACAAAAACTCATTTAAAAAAAAAAGTTACCAATATACTAAAAAAGTAACATTACTTGCCATTCCTTACTGGTGAGAGGACTACTTTTATTCAGTTCTTGGTGGAGTGTTTCATTCTCTTTTATCACCTCTTCTACTCGTACCTTGAACATTTTCATTTCTTCCTGAAATAAAATTAATGTAAATTTACTACAAAAACTGAAATGTACAGATAGTTATTGCCTTTACCCTAGAATTGTTACTTTGAATAAAATCAATTAAATCTTGGCTGTACTGACTAACACTCATGGAACCTGCCATAGCACTGAATTCATAATAAAGAAATGTTTTGGTTTACTAGCACCTGGGGGTTTTGGTTACTATAAGAACCTTAATATAGTGTCTCCCATGGCTAACACTTTCTCATGGCACAGAGCCCCAAAGCATTAAGTGAAACTGCAGTGCCCTGATCTTAATTGTATTTATATATATTTTTAAAAATTGGTAAATACTTTGAGAACTCCCTCTTTTCCCCAATTCTATACTAGAAAATAAAAAAGAAAAAAACATAAATTCTTGTTATACTTTTCCAGAGCAAGGAGAGGAATTTTTATACTGGGAAACTCATTTAAGCCAATGGTCTCTGAAGCAGGAGCCGTACCTTGAAACCCAACAAGTATGTAAACTATCTGGCAGTGTGGGAAGATGAAATGCATCCACCTTACCCCTGAACTGTATAGCCAACTATAGGCTTATCTCCAAAAGAGCAAGGCACAGCACCCTCTTAAGCACCTGCATCCTACCTCCTGTTAGCCTTCTGGTACCGAACAGGGGATGGGGCCCTCAAGGCAGCCTTAACTTATTTTGACCCAGCTACCAGCATAAGCTGTGGCAGGAAATATTCTGATGGCCCCCTGTACCACAGAAGCAGCAGCAGCAGCATAGACAACATTTATATAGCATCTACTATGTGCCAGGCACTGTGCTAAGCACCTTACAAATATTATCTCATTTGATCCTCACAACAACCCAGGGAGATGGGTGCTAGTACAATTACCATTTTACAGTTGAGGAAGGTGAAACAAACCAAAGTTAAGTGACTTGCCCAGGGACACACAGCTACTAAGTGTCTGAATCCACATTTGAACTCCAGTCTTCCTGTCTCCAGGCTCCGCACTATACCACTTAGCTGCTTCTGAGGATAGCACCCCTAAAGTCTGCCCTATTCTCTCACCCTGTCATAGCAGCCAGGCAGCAAGCACCTACAGGCTCTGCCCTCTGGAGCAGTGATCCCAGAATAAGCTCTCCCCCTCACCAACAGTTTTTGTTTTCACTGGGAAAAGGAAGTACCATAGGATAAGTAGGCAAACCTATCCCTCTTCTGAATTTCCCTCTTCCTGCTAAGTTCACCACCATTCTTCCAGTCACACATGCCTCTCTTTCTCATTCCACATATTGGATCAGCTACCAACTTTTGTCATTTCTATCTGCACAACATTTCTCAAATCTATCTTTTTTTCCACTCATCAATTCGTATCACCTCTCACCTGAACTATTACAATACCCTCCTTCAGGCTTAGCAATTTTGTTAGTCTTTTCAAAGAACTAGCTTTTAGTTTTGGTTATCATTTCTTTAATCTTTTGGATTTATCTATTTCTGTAATTTTCAGTATCTCCTCTTGTGTGTCTGCTTTGGGGTTATTTACTGGCTTTCTAATTTTCTACAATGCATATTCAGTTCATTAGTCATCTTTTTAAATTTTGTTCAAATGCATATTTTTAGGGATATACTTTTTCTCCTAAAGGCTGGTTTAGCTGCATCCCAGAAATTTCAGTTATTTCATCATTATCACTTTTTTCCCACATAATTTTTCATTGTCTTTATGATGTTTTTGGCCCACTGTTAAGTCTCCATTTGAGTCTTTGCTTTCTGCTCTCTGACATCAGTACTATTTTTTATTGCATTATCATATGTAAGGGATGTGTTTACTATTTCTGCCTTTTTATATTTGTTTACAATATCTCTGTGCCCTAATACATGATCAATTTTTATAAAAGCAGTGCTGAAAAAACATGTATATTCTTTAGCAATCTCATTTAGAAGACACCATGAATCTTTTAGCTCCGATTTCTCCAGCAATTTGTTCAATTCTATGTTTTCCTTTCTTTTATCTTTCTGCTAGATTTATCCAAAACAAGAAAATACTAAAATCTCGTACTATTATTGTATTAACGTCAAGGTTTTCTTGCAAGTTGGTTCATTTTTCCTTGATGAAGTTAGAGGCTAAGGCGAGAGCATACATTTAATAACGAAATCGGTTTGATGTCTATGGCTCCTTTCAGCATAATTTCTTTACCTCCATGTGGAAAAATTTTGTTTTTGCTTTGTCTAATAGCATGATTGCAGGTCCTCCTTTTTTGGATTTACTTGATGCGTAGTATCTTTGGTTCCAGCTTCTTTATTTTACAAATGTCTTTACTTTTTAATATGTTTCTTGTTTTGTATCCTTTTCCCAATCTGTCACTTTCTTATTTATTGAGTTGTTTAATCCATTCATATTTAAAGTTGAGTCAGGTTTACATTTTCCTTCATTTATCTCTAATATTTTTTTTCTGAACTGATTTAAAATTTTTTTTGGTTCTTCCTCTTAAGGACAACACTTTGTTTAGTTAGTTATTTTTACTTCATCTACTTTAAGGGAACCCTATTCCAACTTGCCCTTTTTAACCTCACCTAAGTCCACAACCTCCTACTGGCTATGAGCTTTAGAATTTTACTTATTAATTAATTCCTTTTTCTTTCTTCTTTTCATCTAGCTAATTCTTCCCCTGTATTTTTTTCTTCTCACTTAAATAGTTATATAACATTGCCATTTGACTTCTGTTACATTTTGGTTTCTTATTCCGCAATCTTTTTCTAAAAAAGAATTTCCCTTCATTCTCTGTCAATTCTTTCCTGTATATATCTGTCCTAAACTTTTATTCCTTGATTCATGGTCCTTAAACACACTTATTCTTTATTTTAGTCTCTGTGTTTCTTGTGAAATTGAAACTTTTAAAGTATCTATTTTGAATTCCCTCTTCTAAATGATTTCTATGTTAATACCTTCTAGGTCTTGCCCCTACCTTATTTCTGCTGTCTCACTCCTAGAAGTATCAATTCCTGCAGAAGACAGAATATTGCCACATGGTAGGAATTCTCCTGTGACCTTGATCACGTACGAGATCCATTTCTAACCAATGACCTCTCCATAATTATTTTCTTTTCCATCCATTTCCACTAAATTGGTTCCCATGTTCTCCCGTCCTTCTGGATGTCACCTGCCCTCAGAAGCTCTGATTCTCTTTCTTAGGAGGTGAGATACTGTCAATGGACACGTAACACTCTCTCAGAGGTGGTGATCTCTCTGACCACCAAGAAGAGTGCGAGCGAGAGACAGAGACAAAGACAGTGTGTTTATTAAGAGCCTGGTGTATCAGGCACTGCAGTAAGTGCAGTAAGACAGTTATATGAATTTCTTTTCCTTTATATTTGAAGGTTTTCTCCTAGTCATTTACAGAATTTGTTGTTTGTCACTGGAATTGTTAAATCTAACCACTATATAACTTGGAGTTTATAGTATAGGGTTTTTGTTTGTTTTTCTGGAGGCTCTCTGTGGTTTCTTTCAATTGGTATCGTTTTCTGTATTCAGAAGTTCTAGGTAGATTTCTTGTATTATTTCTTGAATTATGATTTGAAATTTTTAAAAAATTGCTGTGTTCTTCTGGGAGACCTACAATCCTTAAATTGTCTCTATGCATCCTATATTGAAAATTAATATGCTTTGCTGTTATAGATATCATTGTTTTAAAAAATATTATTGGTTTTTGCTTCTCTTCTTCCATGTCATGCTTCACTTTTGTATATTTGTACTCTCAATTAGTTGTCTCTTTAGCTTCAATGGAAAGATTAGCCACTATGAATTCAAATTTTTATGTCCTGCCAATTATTTCTGCTGTACAAGATATAAATTCTGCCTTCACAATTATTATTATTTCTCTCTTGAACCATTCAGGAATATCTGACCATAATTACAGACTCTCATGGGAATCTATGGGGTTCCTTGCCTTATTAGCTGTTAGTTTAATTTCATTTGTCTTGCAATACTTATTCAGAGATTTGTGGACTCATTTGATGACTTTCAAGGCCCTCTTCAAATCTGTTTCAAGATTTTAAGATCTTCTCTGTTGCATGTGTGTGTGTGTGTGTGTATTTGTATATACTTGTGCTCAAGTTTTTTAAATGAGTTTTGTGTACATGTGTATGTGTACACACACACACACACACACACACACACACACACACACATATGTAAATGCTTGCGCTCAGGTTTTTTAACTGAGTTTTGTTCCTCCTGAGCTCTTTGATAATTTCAGTCTCTTTTCTTAGATTCTTCTGTCAGTCACTTTGTGATGACTCCTACTTTGATGACAGATTTCCCATGGCCACACAGCAAAACTGTCTTAATCCCTTCTACATTTTCTAGATCTCTTCAGATGAATTTTGTAGCTTGGTTTGTTTCTTCCTGCTACTTTGCCATCGTGGCTCTGTCTCCTGCTACATTACTATTTTTAACAATAAAAAACAATGACATCTCTGGTCTGAACAAATATTTTGCCCCAAAAGCAAACAATATAGTCTCTTTATTTGCAGACATGATTAGCTCAGCATGTGCTGAAGCTACGTGGGTATTTTGTCACTGTCCTATGGAAGAACCTTCAAAAACTAAATTGCAAAAGGACTCACGTGTACAAAAATATTTCTAGCAGCTCTTTCTGTGGTGGCAAAGAACTGGAAATTGAAGGGGTGCCCATCAATTGGGGAATGGCTGAACAAGTTGTGGCATATGAATGTAATGGAATACTATTGTGCTATGAGAAATGATGAGCAAGCAGACTTCAGAAAAACCTGGAAAGACTTATATGAACTGATGCTGAGTGAAATGAGCAGAACCAGGAGAACGTTGTATCCAGTAACAGCCACATTGTTCGATAACTGGCTTTGATAGACTCAGCTCTTCCCAGCAATGTGAGGATCTAAGACAACTCCAAAAGACTCATGATGGAAAATGCCATCCATATCCCGAAAAAGAACCATGGAGTCTGAACGCAGATAGAAACATACTATTTGCTCTCCTTTTCTTTTGTTGTTTTGTTTTATTTCTTCTTTCTCATGGTTCCTCCCATTAGTTCTAATTCTTCTATACATCATGACTAATGTGAAAATATGCTTAACATGAATGTATAAGTAGAACCTGTATCAGATTACACAACACCTTGGGGAAAGAGGAAAAGTGGGAGGGGGAGAAAATTTAAAACTCAAAATCTTATGGAAGCGAATGTTGAAAACTAAAAATAAATATATTATTTTAAAAAAAACTAAATTGCAATGTGTGCCTTGATATTACTAAGTATATTATTACTATGGTGAAAAGCATATCAAATACACTGGATGGTTTCTCAAAAGGAAAAAACTGATCTCACTCAATACTAAGACTCAACTGAGAAATATCATTTTTTATTTAAATCATTTAATTATTTGGATTAAGTACTTAATAAAATAAAAGAAGTAGGACCAAAGGCTCTTGTTTTAAAAAAAACAACAAGGAAATTAAGACACTCTTGCCTTTCAAATCTTCAGAGAAAACTTAGTATGAAGTATACTAAGTTCAAATTTCATTATTTGGATGGTATGGGGTGAGGCACAGTTTGAGACCAGACAAGATGAAAAAGATTCCACTGAATCCTTCTAAGAACAGAAATTAATTTAGACCTTAAATAAAAGGACTTAGAAGTTTTACACATATTCAAAAGGACATATTCAAAAGGACTTCGAAGCCCTACGCACAGCTGCTATGATAGGGTCCCTCATAGTAATAGTGTGCTTTTGTGATTGGGAGTCATTCCCGTGAGGAGTGAAACATAAATCTACTGAAACTTAGCTCTGAAGGAACTATCATATACTTCAATTCATACCTTTCTTCAGGACTGGATCCTCCAAAATATGAAGTAGGTAAATTTTGTCTTAAATATCTTCCGAATCCTCCTTTTAAACCATTTTCTCTTCTAGTGAAAAACACCCTCTTTTTATTCCACTCAGGCACCTAGTGACCTCATGTTCTCTGGTTACTTTTCACAGAAAATCCTGCTCATATAAAATAATCTATTCATACTAAAGTATCAATGACTCATAAAGTTTAATTTGGTACTTCATTTGGACATCTGTACATTTATGATGGGGCCCAAAATTAAGAGAATGAATGGTAGCATTTCAGGCCTCAGAAGATAATGGAAGTTATTTTATCAACAAAGGGATTCTCTGAGGTCCCTGAAATCATATCACATTGGCAGCTGCCTTCCCTAACTCACTACAAGTCAACAAACCCCCCTGCTTAACAGAGAAGACAAGAAAAATAAATCATGGGCTCCAAATACAAAGACTGCTAAAAAGTCCAAAATTTGAAAATACCCACCTTCAAAATATCTCAACTTCAAAGCTCCTTTATTTCAAAATCCATCATCTTCTAAGACGTGCAACATACCTCAAGCATGACATTTAGATCATCCTTTTCTTTCATTCTATCTTCATAGGCTAAGAGTAATGGTGATAAATACTTCCTATCCAACTAAGGAAAAAGAAAATTAAAGGAAATAAATACTTTATTTACATCTTTACATCTTTATTTACCTTTCAATAATGAAATGCTAGCAAGAAACTTCACTTTATTTGAAACTAGTAGTAAAGTTTAATAACTGCACAACTTAACTTGTGTATGTCTAGCCCAGGCAATTCAAATATGAATATTAAAGATAGGTTTTTTTCACTTACCAGCCAAGGTGGTGGAGGCCCCTTGAATGGAAGACCTTCAATTTCTTTATTCTAAGCACAGAATAAAAATTGAAGAGAAAGTTAAAGAGATTTTTGTTAAAAATACAAATTATTAATAAATATTATTCAATATATTCAATATATAAATATTATTAAAATAAATAAAATAAAAATTAATTAATTCCAAGTTTTCTACTCTCAATCTATTACCAGCCATTAAAAATAAACAAAAAAAAACAAAACATGTGGCATTTAAGCCAAAGGATTCATTGAGAACTATTTTCAACAAACTACTGACATTAGACAAAATTACAAAGTAGGTGAACTAAGTCTTTAGCATTCTTCTTCCTGCCTCCTAACCAGTACATTTAGTGATCTCATTTCATTGTAACACAAAGCCTTTGCTCACAACTCATCCTCCCCAAACCTATTCTCTTCTAATGTACCCTACTCTCCAAAACTTTAATTTTGACTCTACCCTAATTAAAACTCCTGTACCTCACTGTAGCTGCATTAATAATATAATTACAGTAATCAACACTAATTCAAGCTAGGTGGCACAGTAGATAGATTACCAGGCCTACAGTCAGGAAGACTTATCTTCCTGACTTCAGATACTTATTAGCTGTGTGACCCTGGGCAAGTCATTTCACCCTGTTTGACTCAGTTCCTGATCTATAAAATGAGCTGAAGAGGAAATGACAAACCACTCCAGTACTTTTGCCAAGAAAACCCCAAATTGGGGCAGCTAGGTGGTGCAATGGATAGAGCTCCAGTCTTGGAGTCAGGAGAAGCTGAGTTCAAATCCGACCTCAGACACCAGATACTTACTATCTGTGTGACTCTGGGCAAGTCACTTCTCCCTGACTACCTAAGCAAAACAAACAAACAAAAAACCCAAATGGGGTAACAAAGAGTCTGAAACAACTATACAACAAATTCATACTAAATTGTTAACAGCTAATAGACTTAGTCTTTTAAAAGGATCCCTGTATTTTATTTAAAAGGCTTATGAATCCCCTCATTCTATCTTTCCTTCTTATACTACAAGAACAAAATAATCAATCTGACACTCCCCTTTTGAAAGACTGCTTACCCCTAACCTATGATGACTGCAAAGTCCAACTATGAGATACCTATCTAGCAATGAAATCTCCCACCAAAAAAAAAAAAAGACTACTCAAGGCTAATTAAATGTTTCATTAAAATATCCATGTATTAGTTCAGGGAACCTACACCCAGAGTTGAAAGAGAAATCAGGGGCCATCAAATGCCCTTCATCCTAGACAGATGAAGAAACAGGCCCAGTGACTTTCCCAAGGTCACTTACACATGCAATAATCGTCAGAAGCAGAATTTGAACCTAGGACTCCGGAGTTAGTACCTTTCCACTGTACCAAAATACTTGATCTGTTAGAGAAGTAAAAGGAGATCAAATCCAAGCAAACTCCTTAAGAACAAAAATATTACGCAAAAATCAAATATTTAGAATATCACAAGACAAAATTGAGGAAAAATTTGTGATTAGGGAAAAACAATTATGGTGGGAAGGATGATTAGGGGACTCCTGATCAAATGAGCCCCACAATGCAGTTGGATCAAATTGCAGGGCATGAGAAGAGAAGCATTTCCCATGGAGCCAGACATCTGCTCTGGCTCAGCACTGAAAGATATAAATTCTGGAATGCAACTCTTGATAGGTCCCCATGTGTATCTCTGTATCTCAAGAAGTATCTCAAAGATGACTGATGACTAAGTCTGGAAGAGCCACTATCTGTGGGTTATAAGAAGAGCTGGGGAGAAACCTTTGGGTTCTGCCTCATTTGGAGACCATCCAGTGCTTTTTCTCCCTTGCACTTGATTTGGTCATAGGGAATTTCTATGTCCTTCACAACTCCCATTCCCACCACCCACCCCAAATTAAATGACAGCTACATGCATATGGTAGCCAAGAACATGCTGTGCTGGCCAAGGCAAGCTTGAGTTCCTGGTTGTTTGCTTATTGTGGCTTTCTGTTTCCATTCCTGAGCAAAAGTCAGTAGATAACAGCACTGAGAAAGTGACGTTTGTACCTCTGGCAGCTACTTTAACGACTGTCTGGGAGTTCTGGAGGCTGGGTGTTGACTGTCCGACAGGAAGTGATTCCTATTAACAGCATGTTTTTCAGAAGAGAAAATGAGTACCAACAAGACCATCTTGAAACCTGATGAATTTAAAAAGCTGACTAGGAGATTTGGACCTTGTGAGATGCTCCAATAGTGCATGCCACAGGTGAATATGAAATATCCTAAATATCTCTTCAGTAAACCCACAAAATTTACCTCCCAAGAGTATAACAAGCACAATGGATTACTGTTTTGTGTTTTCACACAAATGACAAATATTTATATTTGTTAATATGCTTATAAGTCTTTTATATCTTAAGCATTTTCTGTGGTAGAAAAAAATAAACCACTGTCCTTTTTTGAAACGTATTTTGTTTGAGTACCTTTTATAAAAGTGATCCTGTCACCCCCTACTTTTGGGGATGGCCTCTTATGCCAAGCTTCAAAGATGTCTCAGAGTTCTACTCTAGAGATGAGGCAATGAGCCAGAAAAGAAAAGTCAGAGAGAACACTGACCAGTCATTCTTTGGTGGGTCATTCAGCCTCTCAGAACTGAACCCAAGCAGGGTGAGTCCAGAGCTGGAAATCCTTGTGGAAGGAACACACCCTGGGTTACAGTCTAGATCTATTTTATCAGTAAGAATAAGATCCACTAGATCTCTAGAATTTGTCCAATTATACACAATGCATGCAACAATATATAGTTCCAAAATTCCTGCTACTGTTTTACAATAGAGTTGGCTTTCCTGCCCTCTACCCTTTCCTAGATAAAAGATCAATCTAAGATTACCTTCTCTTCTCTCTCCCTCCACCTCATTTATTATTTTTTTTCTTTTGCTATGCCCATAGTCAAAGAACTAGTCCATGTTTTACTTTTGTTTTTCTTATTTTACTTATTTACTTTTTTTTTGTTCTGTTCTGTTATTAAGTCCTTCCATCGAATCAGGGATCATCCCCAAGGTTTCCATGACACTACTGTTTCCTGATTTTCCATCTGTCTGACCTCTTCTCAGTTTCCTTTGCTGGACTTTGATCCAGGTCTCCCATTAACTGTGGGTATTCCCCAAGGCTCAGTCTTGAGCCCACTTTCTCTCTACATACTATTTCACTTGGTGATCTTATCAGTTCCCATAGATTCAATTATCATCTCTATGCTGATAATTCTTAGAGCTACTTTTCCAGCTCAAACCTTTCTCCTAACCTCCAGTCTCATATCTCTAAATATTTATTTCATATCTCAAAATGGATGTCCTATATACATTTTAAACTCAACATGTCCAAAACTCAACTGTTATCTTTTACCACAAAGCCTTCCTTCTTCCCATTTTTAAACTTTCCTATCACTACTACAGTCTTTGAAATCATTCAGGCTTGCAACTTAGGTATGATCCTGAACTCCCCTATCTCTTACTCCTTCTATAATATCCAATCTGTTGATAAGTTGTGTCAATTCTACCTTTGTAACATCTCTCCTATGGGACCCTTCTTTCTTCTGATATTGCCAACACCCTAGAACAGGCCTTTACCACCTCATACTTAGACCTACAGCAATAACCTCTCCCCGCCTCAGTCTCTCACCGTGCCAGTCCATTCTCCCCTCAGCTGTCAAATTTATCTTCCTAAAGCCCAACACTGAATATTTCACTCCCCCACTCAATAACCTCCAGTAAATCCCTATTACCTCCAGGATTAAATAGAACATCCTCAGTTTGGCTTTTAAACCTCTTAACAATCTGGTCGCATCCTACCTTTCTTGTTTTCTTATATCTTTTTACCCCTTTCTCTCCCACGTACTCTTGTGATCCTGTAATGCTGGCCTCCTTGCTGTTCTTCAAACAAGACACTCTTATCTCCCAAATCCAGGCTTTCCCACCATGTCTGGAATATTCTCCTTCCTCATCTCTGTCTCCCGGCTTCCCTGGTTTCCTTCAAGTCCAAACTAAAAATTGCCACCTTCTACAGGAAGCCATTCCCAATTCCCTTTAATACTAGTGCTTTCTATTATTTCTAATTTATCATCTTTATTTTGTGTTTTTACATAGTTGTTTGCATGTTGCTTCCCTCCATTTGACTGTCAGCTTCTTGAGAGAAGAGACTCTTAACTTTGTATTCTGAGGGCTTAGTATATTGCCTAACACAGAGTAGAACCTTAATGTTTATTGACATGATTAATTTTTTTGGAGCTATCTTGAAATTTCTTCAATCCCCAGGGTAAGGTATATGGGATGATGGGAAATTTAAACAAGTATCCAAGGCAGGACCAGCCAAGGAGCTCCTTAGTGGAGGCAAAAAACCCAAGTCAGAGAAAATTTAAGGGAAGTTTACCTGGATTTCCTCATCCAGGAGTACTTTGACACCAGAGTTACATTACACCAAATGACACTTTCATTTTCTCCCCAACTTCAAACCTATTTGTGACTATTAGACAGCAACCAAGACAAACTTTACATGTTGCCCTAATAGTCACTAAATCACAATTCCAAAAGAAGAGTTTTCAAATCATATCAACAATTCTATAATTCGGCCCCCCCCAGCTGAATCCTAATATCAAGAGACAACTGCATCACACACCCTCTATTGTTTGGCTGACCCTAGGCAATATTTATAATGAATTCCTATTTATGGATCTAGTATTTAGTTTTAAAGTTTGTATGGCTTGAAGGAATAATTTACATAATGATAGACTTTTTTTTCCTTCTTAACAGCTCATAAAATCACCATTAGCACACTTCTGGAGTTTGATGACAAAGTGCTTTTGAGTAAATTAATTTGGCATTTATTCCTGCTGGCATCCAGTGGATTTGTTGATATGTATAGTCTTTCTTTTGATCTCCTTAATTCTGGGAAATTTCCTTACATGATTTTCTAAAATATGATACTCTAGGACTATCCATATTTTTCAGGCAGTCAATGACTCTTACATTATCTTGCTAAGTGACTGTGCAT